GTAATTCCAGCTACTCAGAAGACTGAGGCGGAAGGATCGCCGGAGCCCAGCAGGTCGAGGCTGTGGTGGCCGGGAGCGGCCACTGCACTCCACTCTGGGTGACAGAGTGAGACTCCAACTCAAAAACAAAAAAAGAGCACTTACCATGTTTCTGGAGTCATTAGCAAAGTGGAACACATCCACTGTGAACTGGAGAGTATCTGGCCCGGGTCTGGGGGTCTTGAATGCAGAGGAAGCATTAGAGAGACCATCGACAAGACAACTTGAAAAAGAACAAGGGAACAACGGTGTTAAAGCCTAAGCAGGTAGCACTTATCACAGAAGTCCCGCAGGAGGGGAGCCCAGCCCTCACCCATGGGAGTCCACAATGGTATGATAAGGGGAGGTGCTCTTGTCTGGTGTCAGCGTGGCCACACAGTGGTCCACAAACAGTCGCAGTGGCACATGGCTGCCAGTGTGGACTTCCGCCTGGAGGTGGGCTGCATCTCCCAGGTGGAAGGTGGGCAACCTCTTCTCAGTGCTCCAGTTCTCTGAAAGACACAGACAGGAGTTCGAGACCGCCCAGAGCTTTCCCCCACAGCCACCCCACCCGGCTGCTTTGCTTACCCTCCATCAGGTGCAGAGAGAAAGCCAGCTTCTCTTCTGAGAACATGGTGGTCCTGAAGGGTACCCAGGTGGGCAGGATCGCCTGGCTGCTCACATTGCCCTGCCTGGGGAAAGAACTGCAGCTACCCACACCTGCCTAAGGGCACACTCCACTTGGCCCCCATGGATGGGGCATCTAATTTCTACCTCATTGCAAAGTCCTCAGCTGTGGCCCAGGCAGCTCGTACAAGGCAGGCAGACACCTGAGTCAGCCAGGGTCCCAGGAGGACTTTGAGCTCTGTCTGGTAAGAAGGCAAGCCGGGAACCCTGCAGGGGACTCCTCCATCTCCCCCACCCACATGATTAGACAACAAGCTCCTCCATTTCTCCTTAGCTCCCTGGCCTCCTAAACCCTGGCAGGCTCAGGCCAGGCCTCCAGCCTCCCAACTGGTCTCGCCACCTTCCACCTGCTTTCTGCACCAGCCACCAGATAACCCTGGGGTAGGGGGAGCAGTCTTCATCCATCCTGCTTGGTCCTCCAGGAGGGGCACCCACTAAACTTCACACCTCAACGCCATCACTAGACTCCGGGACTGTTGGAGCCCATCTGCTTGGCTCCCTGTTGTCCTGGGCTGCAGCCCTGCAGGCTGCATCCCCTACTTGGGGTGCGTGCCCATGTGGCTCTGCTTGGGCAGTCTCAGCCCCAAGGCCCAGCTCCGGGATCTTGTTCTAGAAACTTCTCCATGACCCCCCCCCCCCCCCCCCC